TGGACACCTGTTCTTCCTTAATGAAAGTACCAAGCCCTATCTTTACCACTGTTTCAAAATCTTGCAAGTGCTTACCTTGTACTTCCCGAGGCGGTCAACGGTGCACGAGAGGATCGCCTCCCGCCCGAGCGGTACCGTCAGGTTGACGATGGGCATCTCGAACTCGGGCGCGTCGGGCGCTGGCCTCGGTGTCGTAGTCGTCTCCGCGCCTGCAGTCAAAACAAACAAAGAATCATCACCCGTCACTTGAGTTATGACAAAAATTAAACTTGTTGTACGTATTTTCTGACAATTTAATGCATCATCCGATAATCCTTGTTAGCTTCTTCCAAGGTGCTGTGGTAACTGTATGAGTGTGTGCGTCTCGATAACGGAAGGGGGGGGGGGAGACAAACATGTGGGCTCTCGCACTCATATAGGCCCCTGCATCAGCAGCAGCAGTGCCCCGTCTCGAGGGAAAAGCCCGCTCTGGATCGGAGATGAAGGTTGACCCCGTAGGGGTGGCCGGTCAGCCAGCGGTCCAGCTCAGCCTTCTCGGAATACAGAGGGGTCACCCAGAAAATACGTCCGCCATTCCCCGTTAACTAAACTCCTAAGTTCTCAGCCTCGAGCCCGTTCATAGCGCCTGGTAGGTAGGCCACAACATGCTTAGAGTGCATACGTGCACTGCGGGATGGCCCACCTCAAGTCTCGCAGGCGCCAAGCTCCCGTAATTTGCTGAATGAATCTGAGGAACACGAATGTACTTCCTGGATGATTGCAAAGGCAAACGTCAGCCGTCGGCCGTTCGCTGGTTAATTGTTAACAGCACAAAACGGCTGGAAAGTCGGTAAGTTGGAAGGCCGACTAATTTTCCCCTTCGGAGCGAGTTGGTTGGCGAATACGAGAAGAATAAGACTCTTGGGCCAGAAGGATCAACTGGATCAGCTCCACTTATTTATTTCGCCGTATCATATTATTTCTTTTCTTTTTCATCGTGGTCTCTCCTTGGTACAACTTTTTCTCCCTCCTTCCGAGTATATGTGCGTGCGTGCGCGAAGTGTGAATCACCTTGGTAGCGTTGGCCGCCTGTTGAAAGCCCTCCTCCTCCTCCCTCCTCGCCCCCTTTCCCTCCTCTTTCCCCGCTCCCTCGGATGCTGGCGGCAAGTTTTATGGCCGAATCATTCCTGTGTGTTGGAGCGGGCGGCAACACTCGACATTACCAGCCCTCTGACGGACGTGCGAGCGAGCGAGAGGAGAGTGCCCGGCCGGAGCCGCCGCGCCCCGCCACGCCGCACACAAAAGGGGGAAGGGGGGAAAACACGGAAAGAAAGAGAGCATAGATCAAGGGATAAGACCTCGATAAATTGATGCCGACGCGCATACAAGGAGAAGGCGGAGAGAAATAAGAGGACTCAATCCGTCCGCCTTCCGGATGGTATCCACGCCGAGAATTTTTATTTCTTCGGATTTTCTCTCCGATTTGTCTTCGTTCTTTTTTTTCTGCCCCCCTTTGCCCCCGTTACAGGTCCTCGGGCCGCCCTCCCCCCTCGCGCCCTCAAATGAACCCTGGCTGGCTCCAACCACCGGCGGCCGCCCGACCCCGCCTCGCCCCCGCTCCGGCCAGCACTTCCTTCCGCCAAACAACTTCTTGATGGACGAAGCAAGTTCAAGATCACGAGGACAAAAGGGGAGCAGCCGCACAAGGCAAGGCGCAGCGGGGGCGGGGGCGCAACTTGCCGCTCTCCGCCCGCCCCCGCGCCGCCCGGGCCCCGTCCGACCGCCCCGCCCCGCGCGCCTCGAACACACAATGAAGACAAGCTGCCAAACCCGCCGCTACCGCTACTACTTTGGTCCCGCTTCCCCGACACGGGTTTGCGCTTCGCGTGGCGTGGCCTGGCGTGGCCTGGCGTGGCCTGGCCTGGCGCACCGTGCCACAGTGCCAGGTCTGTGCCTCATTAATCATTTGCTGGAAATTAGTCGTTACACTCGATAGCGGGGCTTGGCGCGGCACGGCGGCGGGGATGCGATACGTCTGCAAATGAGACGCGGCGGCGGCGGCGGCGCCGGGGTTAGAGCAAACGCGCGGCGCCAAACTGCGGGCCCAGACCCGCCCCGCGCCGTGCCCCGAGGGTGCAAAGTACACTGCAGCAAAGGGGCGCGTCCAGCAGCGTCGTGATACGGCGGGGCGGGTGGGAAGGAGAGAAGTTTTACGCGTCGCGCGCGCCCTCCCGGACCCGACGCTCCGGGCGATCTCAAACAATTTCTGCCAAATTATCAGAGTGGCTGGCTCTGCTCGCGGCCTTGCTCTGCTCTGCTCGGCTCGCGAGGGGAGGGCCGCCGAGGTCGGGCCAAGAGGCGCGCGTCCACCGACCCACGAAGGAGTTATGGTTATTGAGAGGATCGCTGTAGGGCAACTAAATGCACTTCCATTGTGGTGTTGGAGTCTTGTGCAAACATTACTTATAGTGCGTAATGTAGGGGAACCCTTATCAACAGTGATAAGCGATTGCGTCCATAATTTATACTATTTTCAAAAAACAATGTGAACAACAATAAGGCAACGATATTGTAGGCGTAACAATGTAGCACAAAGGAGTACGCTCCCATAAGGGTGGGCTGCAGTATTCCTTCAAACTGATCCGAAAATAACACAAAGGAGGCCCTGAAGAAAAGTTGCCATGTCGATAAACAACACACGTTGCTGCGCTTGCTGATCGCCGCAGAAGTGAGGGTGAGGGGCGAGGCGGGCGACTCCAGCCCCCTCTTGTTTCGGCCCCATTGTGGCTGCCCGCTGACCTGCACTAGCCGGCCGGGCATGCAGGTGCTGGACAATCCGGGCCGCTCCAGCCGAAGCTCGCTCGGCCTATATACACTCCCTCCGCACCGAGCTCCGCACTGCTTTCGGTTCCAGGTCACAGCAGGTGGACGGGTACAAAACAAACAACAGAGAGTCCTGGAGTGAAATAACTAACTCGCGGTGCTTTTCTCTCCTCTTATTTGTTTGAAGGAAAAAAAGACATTTCTCGCACAAAAGTGCTGTCAGTTGGTCGTCACGCTGGAAATGTCAGCAGAAATGTGCATCAATATGTAAAGGAGGGCTAAGGAAAAATCACTAAAATAATTTATTAATTTGTGCATTTCACTATCAAAAATAGTTGTAGGTTTTACGGGAAAATGGTGCACATAGCGTGTCGACTTGGACGTCATCGACGAGCAGAAATGAGCTAGTAAATTTACAAAACATTTCGTAAAGAGTAAATCACAATCGGCTTAAGACATTCTTTCACGCGTTTAAGGGCAAAAGTTAAGCAAGAACCCTTCAAAGATGCCGAATCACACCTCTGTTTTTCCAGTGTGCATGGCATCTCAATCGCTCTGTCACTGCAACCTGGGGGGGTTCGGGGGGAGATCGACCCCGATGCACGTCACGCACGGCGTAATGAACGCGGCGGCAGGACAGACCTCGGCGCAATCCATACATTTGCCTTTCAATAATACAGTACTTTTCGCTCCAGCGACCGCAGCAGAGCAATCATATCAACAAACTACACTAACCGATAGATTACCGTTTTCGTCTCATTTCTCCCGCATTTCGCCCTTCCTCTTCCCCTCTCTTTGCGGTCCAGAATACGCTTGCATATACACTCTCTCTCTATCCCCCCCTCTCTCTCTCTCTCTCTCTCTCTCTCTCTCTCTCTCTCTCTCTCTCTCTGCGATATTCAGCTGGTTTTATAATTCGCCATAAAGAGCGCCGCGCGCGTAAATCCGCCCCACACACGCCGCTTCCTGAATAGGTGGAGGTAGAAAGGAGGGGCGGCCGTTTCTTTGTTACTTTTACAACTGCCCCGCCGCCGTCGTCACGGACCGTGCGAGTCGTCTATTTTTTTTCCTCTTCTGTGCACTCCCCCCCCCCTTTCCCGCGCACCGCACGGATGAGAAAAGGCGTATAGTAGTGCGAGAATGCGCTGGGCGTGGCGCCGCGTAGCGACAACGCCGGTCTGCAGCCGCCCCTGCTCAGCGGCAGCCGAGCGTCATCCCCCTTCTCGAAGACACAAGGGGGAGGAAGGAGGGTAGATGCGGTGGTGGGGTACACAGAGAGTGAGAGGGGTGGAAAGGGATAGGGGAGGAGGTATGTGAGAGAGACCGTCATCATCTGCAGCTTTGTGGCGTGGTGAAAAAGCGCGCGTTTCCCACCGAGCACTATGTCCTCTGCTGCGCAAAGCGTGGCGGGGCGTGGCGTAGTCTGCCGGCCGCCTCCCCCATAACCACTCACTCCACTCCAGGGTCCGTTCACAAACCGCACGCGCGGTGGCGGCGGCGCAGGGCCCCTCTGGTCCACAGAAACAATAAGCAGGGGGGACGTTCCTCCTGCACCGCCAACCACGGGAAGAAAGCGAATCACATGCGGGGCATCAGCAGTCGCTTCGGTGCTCTTTAAGATCGCAGGAGTCTATACCGGGCAAGATGACGAAGGATTAGCAGGGCTTTCGTGAAAAAGTGATGCACCTGCTGATATTTGTTGTCTTAATACCCTACCCCCACCACAGCTTTCAATTCAAATTTTCTCACCATGGGAAGGGGTAAAACATGGGGGAGGGATTGAAATATTCCGCGGACCGTTTTGCGGTCACCCCCGGCCTGCCTGGCTGCTGAGTGGGCACAGCTCTTAGGAAGAACATCAGCGAACAGCCCCATGCTCCCACCCGTCCCTCCCTGAGCCCCGCGGGGCGCGGGGCGGTGCAAGACACTGTGTGTTACAATCTGCAGCAGCAGCTAGCGCCCGTGTTCGTGTGCTTGTGTGTGTGCCCGTGTGTGTGACGTGTGAGGGTGTGGGTGGGTGTGCGCGCGCGCGCGCGTTCGCCCAGCCGTGATTTTATGTTCTGCAACAGAAACCCCTTCTCTACTCCGCACCCCGCCCCTCCCCCACCCTCTACAACTCCGCGTCTGTTTACTACATCGCGGCTGCAGCGGCAGTTGCATTCCCGGCTCCCCGCCGCCACCCCCCCCCATGCACCCCGCAGCCTCGCGTAGGAACGTGGCGGGCTGGTGAGCGGGGGCGGCGGGGGCGCTCCAGACAGAGCTATGAGGTGCAGGAACCCTTCATGCGAGCCGCAACCCCCTTCCCCCGCTCCGCCCATAACCTACACGTCTCTCTCCATCCACGACCCCCCCCC